CTAGTCAAATAACTTAGGTATATGCATATCGAGGGTTCCGTACTAACAACACAGTTTTATAAAAAAGAAACTATAAAGGTAATTTTGCTATCCTACTTCCTTATATAATAAAAATTTTTGAAATTCATTCACACTATTTAGAAAAACCGAGATAGATTCATGGTTGGTGCAGGGCGGGCAACCTCAAGTCACGAGTTCGACTCCTGCATAGAACAATTCTTTGTCAACACCAAGCATAGGTGTCGAAATGACAAAAACCCAGACACCGTTGTTCTACCTAAGAATCGAATGAAGGACCATGTATTCGTATTAACAAATAAGTAGCCATGTAGTCAAATATAGTACTCAATAAATTCCTAGAAATATATTTTCGATACCTACTGGGAACAGTTATTGAAGAAAAAACAGTAAATGGGTAGACAGCTGTATATCAAGCTATTCGAACCAGTATTAACTGGCCGTTGAATGTGCGAAAAGTTCATACAAAGAGAGTTCATAGTAAACTGGTTGTTATACCCGTATGTACTATCGGCAAAATTTACGATAGTACACTTTTTAAACAAAATCCTGAGACATACTGGCTATCCACCGGGCATTTACTCTGTGGTCGCTTGCACCGAGTTCATACGAATATCGCCTAATGGTCGACCGTCACTTTGTCGATTGTACATTGCAGTTCTCGTGCGATCTTTATGCAAGTGCACAGTAAGATTGAAGGTTAGTATTATAATGTTTCACAAGTTACATTCCTTTGGTACTGAGCGTTAGCAACCTTTGACACGCTGCAAAGCGATACGGCTGCCATCTGACACGAATCAAAGTCTTATGACACGCACTTAATATTAACGAAGCAATAATTGCTGTTTAATGACTTCTATTCATCCTTTATAATTATGTTGGTCAAGTGGACATAATCTCCAGTTCTCACTACGGTAGTGTTTTAATCAAGTAGCGAATATTTAGTAGACCTTTTTAGTTGTGTTCCAAAATCGAAGAGTAGTACCAAATATCGCTACTGCACCACCCATCCGTACATGCGTGTATTACCCGTCTACAATAGCACACTATGTAATGCAAACAAGGCATATATCAGACTGTCGAGCAAATCAAAGATTGGATCATCAGTCTCGATCTGTCAGCAAGTATTTTTTTATACCTTGGCCCATAATAGGATTGTCTCCTGTGTCGTGGGTACGTTTACAAACATACAATTCTATATACATATGATACCCAAACCCGGTACAATAATCTGTGGATCACACAAAGAGTTGTTCCGTGCGGGAATCGAACCCGCAAAACGTTGCACGGCACCCAGTTGCCCAGCCACCGCGCCAACCGCGCAAATATACTGAATCAACTTTTGAATTTCAGAATAACAATAGATTCATTTACTATTGAACTGACTCTAAATTGATCTGGTAGGAAGTGAATATTAGATTGTAATTATATTCGTTCTGTCCACTCCATCAGGGAAGTGTGTTACTTTGAAAATTTGGCCGAAAAATATGGTTGTTTTCACTTTAATCCATTCTAGCTCATTCATACTAATACATTCTACATAGTCGCGGAGAACCTAACGGGTTACCGGGCTTCAGCTCGACACGTGCAGGAGAAGGAACAGGGTAATATTTAGTCAGTAAGAGTCTGACATTCCCTCCCGCCTCACCCAGGCGGGAGCAGTCATTCGATGATTTTCCCCCCATAAAAAAGTCCATTCTACCTGTTCTATTCTGTTAAATGTCGTCAATCAAATAATATTCTAAGATAATATGAATTTAATTCGCCAGTTAAAATAATGTGACGACTAAGATATGGCTTTATAAATAAATTTCGCAATTTTACACATATCCTAAAGACTTTCCAAGAAACCCGATGATTTTAGAAACCTTGAAAACAAAATTTAATATTGTCCGTAAAATTTGCATTATCGACACATCGAAGACACATCAATCAGGTGACCTTATAAAAAGATCTAAATAGCAAAGTAATAAAACACAAAATTAACATTCATAGTATTATGGTAAAGATTATTTTTTCACCTTACTATTGAGGAATATATTATATCATTCTACAGCCTTGACCTAACCGTGGTTCGGAAATTGTTTTACCATTGATTACAATTGGCATTTCAATGTACTCACTATTATTTATAAGATACAATGACACGCGTGTTTTGTTGATTGGGTGGTCGCGAACACCAACATTAACCAACAAAGTCTTGGTTACTAGTCAAGTTTTATACCGCCAAATTCCCAAAAAAAAAAAATTGATTTTCAGATGAGATTTAAGAGATGGTTATGGTTTATGACCATGTCTATGACCAGAGATGAGGGAAACTTCTAATTATTAATTTTTCTCTATTTAAGTGTTGGTCGGTAAATAACAAACATGATGTCAAATTCATGACCTGGGCTAAGATGAGACGTCGAGGAATAATTTGATAGATCTTCAACTTAACTCTTCGGGGATTAAACAAAGTGACTTTATTGATATCATGTATGAAGTAGATAATTATACATTATATTATTCTAGATTTATATATTTTGACAATAGAACATTAATCACAATGCAGATTCTCGATTTATGACAGTCTTTTATTGTTGTCTCTTGTTACATGAGTTATTAGACCTCTGACTTCTTCATTATTTTGATGTTACATTACATTTGTTATGCATATAGCTAGTAATTTATATATAAATAGATATAAACTTTATTATACACTGAGTAAATAAGTAGCTTTACATAAGTTTATTTTGTGAATAAAAAACTTAAATAACAACTATTCCATAAATAAAATTAAAACTAAATATTACTAAATTAAATATATACAACTTATGATTAAAATTAATTATAGGAAAAATAAACTATTTATAAGGCATCGAAAAATTCGTCCGCATCGACGTCAGTGGGGAAAGTACCCAGAAGGCTGGCAGCATTGCCACGTTGTATGGCAATGCTTAACCTCTGACCGAGAAAAAGACCAGCCCTCTGGTCACGAGATGTGTCGACCAGGCGTTTCGAAATGTTTTTGAACAATTTAAGCGCACTCGGACCCCACGGACCTAACGTTTCAACCCCAAACGGCTCAAAGATATAACTACCAGCAAGGTTGTTATACTTGCGCCGCTTGAGGTTTTCTGCAGAGGCAGCAGCCGAACCAGCACAACTCGCCGTTACTGGAAGATGAGAAGGTGCAAGGGTGTCGACGCAGGTTGCGTCCCACACCAAAGACTTTCCCAGCTTCCAGGGCATAATGGACATACCGTCGGGTCTCTTACCATCGTCGCGTGCCAAACCCTTTGGTTCCAGAACAGCTGGTACACCGGCGATGACAAGAGCTCGACGGATGATGTCGTTAATGCTGGCGTGTCGGGCTATCCGGCCCGCGCTTCTGCTACACGATAGGCCGTGGTGGCCGAGGTGGTCGACCATCTCACCGCATTGACAGCGATGCGGAGAAACACAGGGTGCACCTACACGCAAGCAAGCAGCAAGCCGAAAAGTTGAGTCATTCAACATCGTGCCAATATTGAATGACGGAAGTGCCTGAAGCCAGAGACCTGATTCCCACTCACCCACAGCCAATAGGCGAGCTAACTCCGCAGGATTGGTGCTGGTATTAATTAGATTATTATGCACCAACCTGCAAAGCGGCTCGTCCCATTGTCTCTGGGAGGAAGGGTTGACAGGCAAGGCTGTATTGGGACAAGTTTCTGTCCAGGCGTTCATCGCGTCGGTCAGACACGGCACATCGGGTTCAACGTCAAGACCGGCTAAAATATTTTTTGTTAAAGTACTAGTGCTGTGGACAGAAGAGATGAACGCCGGTAAACTAACACTGGAAATTTTGCGGACGCCTAGGCCACCAAAACGAATTGGTAGTGTGGCTTGAAGCCAAACACGATCGTCCATGGAAGCATTCAAAAGTGAAGTTAATGTGTCACGGATAATTTGATCAATTTGGTCCAGAATATGCGGATGTTTCCACAGAGGGGAAGCACGCAGAAAATACATAAATTTTGGGCCGAAACAACAATAGCGAATTAATGTAAAGGCACAATGTAGATTAATTTTGGAAAGTCTATCGGAAATGTCACAGAAATTTTTAATTTTCTCGTTTATGAAATCAGAGAAACTGTTTTCGAAAATTGGGGAACCCAGGAGAAGAAGAGAGTTTTTATCAACAATTTTTAAATTCGGCGCTACGGTAGAAAAAGTGTTTAAAATTCGTTGTCTGTCAATAATTTTGTCCGGAAGGTAAATTTCGCATTTAGAAATATTTAATTCTAATCCGATGGTTTTAAATTTAGAGATCAGAAGCTGTAAGTCATGGAAAACAGTATCTGCGTCACCTCCTAAGGTTCCATCGTCCAAATACCAAACATTAAATTTAGATTTAAGTTGCCGAATAATAGGGTGAATGGCCAGACTGAAAATGACTGGACCAAGAGGATCACCTTGTTGGCAGCCTACCGCAGAATCCAAAACTTTGTCTTTATATAATAATTTTGAAGGTTGACTATAGCACTGCCAAATAAAACTGTAAATTTCAGGAAATTCTTAAAAAAAACAATAAAAAAACAATTCAGAAGGAATAAGAAGGGTACAAGGGCGACCTGGTTTATAAAAGCGATATCTACCAGCAACCAGGCAGGAATGGAGCGCTGAATAAATCATAGAGGTAACCTGAGTAAATAGAGGTAAATAAATATTATCTAATATCGTACTTATAACACAAAGGTACATACATAACCTCAAGCCTGTCTCCCGTAAACTTGTTTGAAAAGCGTATGGTGTATTATATTATTAAAATAAAAAATAATTAATTAATTTTTTATTATATAAATAATATAAATTAAAAAAATATATTTATATTATTAAAATATATAAATTAATAATATTTAGAATAACAATAGTTACTGTATCTTTTTTATGGATTAGGAGGCAAACGAGCAGGCGGATCATCTGATGGTAAACGACCAGCGCCGCTCATCACACCCGCAACACCAGAGGAGGCACAGTTGCGTTGGTATTTATTTACATAACTGTCTGTAATATTAGTCAGCACTGAAATGCTACGTTATTTTGTGCCATTATCCTCACAATACCTACTTAATATTTTATAAAAATAAGTAACATAAAGTATGCAAATTTATTGACATTTATAGGACATAGGATCCTGCTAGATTCCTAGTGTATGACAAGTTTATGCTAATTTTTATTGGCTAATTATAATCAAGAAGCCTAAACGACCACACAGAAGTGTCGGTACTGTTATTGATAGTCTTTATTCCGATGCAATAAAAGTGTTTTTTCAATGAGGAAGTAATATGGACCAAACAATAATATTAATCTGTCATACGGTATAGTCCCCGTTCGAATTGTCGTAGACAGTCGATTATATGAATGTTCTATATTACATTTTTAAACATAGTATTTATAAAGACCCACATAAATGAAATACAATAGGTTACCTTTTAATTTAATCATTACAATTTGAATTTCTTAAATACATTTTTATTTATACTTTCATAACTCGCCGACAAAATGGAAATGGAAATTAGCAGTTTACGATGTTGTAGCGCTAACAAACAAATGTAATAATAGTCTTAAATGATAGTTTGTATAAAAGAATGACATTGGGAACATTGGGTGTATAATCGGCAAACAAACCAGATAAAAAACCAATCAGCCGAACATAGTACCTCCTCCTTTTTTGCAGTCGGTAAAAATGGTCGCTTGTCCAATCAATCTCTTATTACTAACAAAATACTGGGAAGTACGGAGACGCATATAGGATAATTTACGCGGGGAACAATGGGCATATTATTATATATTATATGTATATGGCGAGATCAGATTTTAAAAATCTGATGATGCTCCTCAATCCTTACGGACATATATAATATATATATTATCCTACCAATATATTATGCCTAGGCATAGGCATAATATATAAATGTTTTATGTTTGTTTGTGACTCCTCGTCAAAGCAGTTGAAGGAATTTGGATGAAATGTTTTTTTTATGATTAGAACAAGAGTAGTTTACAGTCAGATATAACACATAATATTGTGCCAAAGGAACGCGGGCGAAGTCACGGGCATATGCTAGTAATTCACAATTTTTTTTAGAACACCCACCATTTTTTTGGGTTTCTGGTGATTTCTAGCAACTAAGTAGTTGATTGTCAAATCTGTTAATAAATTAAAGGACAGAGTAATTCAAAAACTCTCGTTAAATAAATCGAATGTCGAATATTTATATTTGTACTTACATGAGTATTACAATTACATCTTTATAATTTGTCACAACACAAAAATAGGTATTCTGCAACAGTTTGAAGATATTTTTTATGAATCGTTTCGAAATGAGGTCATTGTTATTTGTTGTTACTTAGTGATTCTAAATGTTAGAATGTTGTATGGAGACTGCGAACAAGTTAGAATTTTGATAGCAGCTCTTATTACTTACACTCGTTCGTAGATCAAGGTGTCATACTGTGACTGCCGTGCGAGGTACCTCGGGCAACATAAAAAGTCTCTTATATGTGTTACTGTAGACCATAATCGATACCGTGAAATATATTTCATTTTCGTTAAACAACTTGACATAAGGAGTTTTTTCGGTGGTATAAAGTAAAAACAAGCAAATTACGATGCCATCTTTGTAGTTTAAAAAAAAATTCGTGGAATTCGTACATGAAACAATAGACGTAAATTTGTGGGCACTATTTGCATCGCATCGCATGATGAGAAATACCTCTTTGAGAATGACATGGCGTGATGTTTTGATAATGAGTTCGTAGGTTCGTAACTATGAGTTTGTATGCACTTTCGAAGTTTGATTTTTTGCAATGGTTTTCTTTGTAAAACTATTATAATATGTGTTGTATTATAATGTGTGTTTAAATGGTTCTATCTTGGTGATATTATCACTTTGCCCGACCCGGGAATCGAACCCGAGACCCCTTGCCCGGCAGTCGCACTTGCGACTACTCGGCCAACGAGACAGTCAATAAAAGTATATATAAGTTTATTAAATTAATAGTAGTCATTTATTGAGATTTGATTGATGAGAGCGACGACTTCATTTTATTGATGTGCTAAGATCTTGAATTTATTTCCTCATAATTATGAATACCATTATTTTTACAATAAAAAAGGTAAGATAAATGAATTTTACCAGCAACACCAAATCATTCTCCTACGGGAGAGCAATCATATAGATATATGCTCAAATGTATAATTAAGTGTTATTTAAAACTCAAACAGGAATAAAAAAAATAGATTTCATAAATACAGGTTCAACATTATTTTCCAAAACCATTAAGGTGTCTACACACCAAAACCAGCTGACACGCACCCAGTGAGGTAGTGTCAGCGACACATTCCTGCTTCTGAAACTTCCAAGTCGGATATCTTGACCAGCAGTATATGGTGTTCACAATTATTAGTGATTGCCAAGACATCGGAATGGACCGGACATGCATGTGTGTTTCGAAACATATAACAACGTAAACGTACATGCAAAAGGTTAATACTGATCTAATTTTATCAGCTTGTGTAGTTATGGGCAACTAATGGCAGGGGGTGTGCCACTGGAAACACAAGGGGAGCCACTAATGAAGCCTTGCAATGCGGTCTGGCTTCTTTGGCATGTAGACACCTTTACAAAGGCAAAAAGGTATCTGGAGTTAAACTAGCATCGAAGAGGACTCGTCTCATGCTAGTGATAGGGCGGGTGTATCCGAAGGCCTTTTCGAAATTTTTCATATTACAGCAATACGTATAGCCCCTGTCTACGTCATTCCATTCTGGGCCCTCCAACCAGTCAATGTTATTACAAATATCTGAACAGAGAACGTGATTTTTCATTACTTCTTCTCGAGTTATCTCTGGTATATTCACTTGTATTATCGCGATTGCTGAATCTGTCGCAGGATCTTGAACCACCTGAAACAGTTATGCAGTTGAGTACACTATCTGCCTCGTTTATTTCTAAACGTGATTCTCTAGCTACTAATTGGTATGTAATTATTTAAAAAAAAACTATATAAACATTTCAGTAATATTTTGTAGACGCCATACATGAAAAATATATGGGGGTGATAAAAATTTTAGGATTAAACATCATGATGGTTGGTTGTCTATGGACTTACCTTCCACAAGTATAGCGGAATTGTTTGTTGTCTTTCTCGGCCATTGTTAATTTTTATATCTACCGACAATTTGTCGTGATTTACATTTGACGTGCCTGTAAACACGATCAAGTCACGACCGGCTCTTTTTACTAGCTCCCTTACCAATTCTTCCAAATCGTCCCAATTCTGAAAATTATAAAACTCTTTATAACTGTCTTGTTATTCAAATAGCTGCAAATGCGACTGGCGTGCAAGGAATCTTGGAGTCCTTCTCCAAGTTTTACTTGTTAAAATAACTTACTTTCAGTAAGTAACTTGTACTGGTACTTTCAGTAAGAAACTAACCCTTAACTCACCTTTGAACTGCAAGAATTCCAATGTGGAACAACATTTTTATACTCAAAAGACGCCGTCGCTGGTATTCCAGGAAGCAAATCCCTAGGGTTGACAAGTTGTCTTCTACCATAGCAGCAAGAATCAGAACGTAACCTTCTTCTTAGAGCTATGCTGATGTCATACAGTTGCCTTCTACAATTATACAATTCCTCAAATTCTTCAGCAGATATATCAGAAGAGCTGAACCATTGAGACGTTGAAGAAATATCTGTATGGTGGGGAGACAGGTGATGCTTTGTGAATAAAGGAACATCATTCACTTTGTCAAAACAAACACGATATACCTCCATGAAATAACCTTGTGATTTAAACCCTACACCCACATACTCTGTATTATCACCAAAACATTTATTTTCTGTGTGTTCAATGTTAGGTGTTACTTCTTTATTGCATTGTAAATCTGCAAAATTGTAAGGTTTTCTTCCTATTTTTACTATGTTGTCTCGCTCACAACATGCTATAATGTTGGAATACAATGACAGTCCAGGGTTGACGAATCCTGAAGGGCATCTCATATAAAAATAACCTTTATGTGGTATTATCATATGGTGCTTAGTTATTCGGAAAACAGACCACCCACCAGACGTTGAAAACATAACGGGATGTTTTCCTATGAAAGATTTTTTTATGTCCAAGAGGCAATCTGCAAAATTAGTAAAGAAAATAGTTGAAACGCCATTCGTTAGTTAAATCCAATGAATTTTAGCCGAAATTATTATGCGATTGAAGATATAGATATAAAAGGACAAAAAACGACATTTTACCTCGGGATGTGACATTAAATGATCGACGTATGCTGCCAAATTTATTGCTAACTTCACATTCATAAATTCCTGTAGCACCTAATTCCATTCCTAACACATAGGACATGTCAGTAACATTCATAGTCACGCCGTCGTGAGTCCACGTCGCGCTCTGTAAATGAACGAGTATATCGAGAATAATTAGTATTTTAGACTTTCGTGTCACTCAAAAAGTACTGCACAGGATTACTTCAATTTTTTTTTATTATTTACTGGATTCACTTTAAATTTTGCTTGAATATTACTGACAGGTTATCATCATCATCATCATTATATATAGGCTACATAGTCACGCTACCACCTACGGGGGAGGAGTAGTGAATCTTCACAATTCCACGCGGACGAAGTTGCCAGTTATTATAATTTGGACTGATTTATGTATTTTATATTATTTTTATTATGAGGAACAGCAAACAGTTACATTATAAAGGCTTATGAATAATCAATGCACAAAATACATTAGGTAATAATGAAACCCACAACACTGTCCACAGGTTGCCATTAAACTATACATTATGACTAGACTCGACTATTTTGCAATAAATCAGTGGCCAAGAAAGTAAGTAGAGAAGTATTAACGAGTACAGCTACCGTAGGTCTCGGTTCACCATAAGCTTCGCAATCAAGAAACGGAGATTCTGATTTGTGCACAAATTCTATTATTTCTTCTGCATCGCTACTAAATATCGGTTTAAATCCAACCACTAGCTTAGTAGCTATAGACCGTGTTTTAAGAAGATCGGACACACGGCAAGTATACACTCCATCGTCACTCCGAGTTGCACTGAATAAATATATTTCATCTCGTTCTCTCCGCAGTTTTCCGTTCTAAAAGCAGAAAATACAAGTTGTATAGGCTACATGTGTAATTAACAGCACACTTAGATCGCACTACTATCTTTTTCCTCGAGAGCGATAAAGCGAGAGCTCAAGATGCCTTAAAACCGCGAAACCAACTGGAGATCTAACCCTGATCGCACACTGATAATTATATGAATGCCTGAATTTGTTGTCGCACCGCGTCCTGTCAGCCATGAAATCACAGGACGGGCATTGAATCTCTCCAATAAACTTTCATTGAAATCGGTTGTATTGGTTTCCTATTCTCTAAAACTCACAATATTATAAACCCGGTGGTTTACTGGCTTAGTCTGCCTCAGACTAAGCTATTTTTCAGTCAGTCATTCAGTTTATTTACGCAATCACAAAAAAATTGTCAACAAAACATAAATATTAACCAGTTTGGGACATAAGGACCAAATTACCTTAAACCAACGCAATTGATCTGTGATTTTATATGGTATTTCGCATTTGATATTAACGGATTCACCTTCCTGTACGTATATAGTTTTTGAAGGCACCACGACTAATGAATCTGAAAAAAATGATATGGAGTAAAATAAATACAAAAAAAATGTCTAGTTATTTCTTAACAAAATTCCAGTTACTATAATTGTTATTTTTCAACCATTCTGACTGTTAATTTAAATAAATTATTTAAAAAAATCGGTAAAAGTTCTTAACAAGAATCTTAATTCTAATGTTTTCTTACTTTTTACAACCACTTCGTAATAATCACTGGCTGTTCCAAAAGAATTTTCTGCCAGGCACATATATGTGCCTGCTGTAGCACGGTCTATGTTTCTGATGAGTAAAGTACCATCATCTTCCATGCCAAACCAATCAGATCCTGAGGAATTGAATTTAATCGATAGACTTCGAAAATTGACAATTTTATACACTTTCATGTGTTCTTTCTGGATTTCCATATTGCCACCTTATATATGCACTTCTAATGTGGAGACATTGTAAGAAAATTCTGACACAGTTTACGAGAAAAATATCAATTACAACAAATTTTTAATCAATATAATCAAGAGTTTTGGTGCACATTACAAGTGAGGAACAGCAAGCATCGCATAGACTTCTGTACGTCTAATAGGCTGTAATTGTCATATATAATATTGTCTCCTAAATTCAGCCTAATCTCCTGTTTTTTCCGATGAACCGGTTATTGCGGGTTTGTATTACATACTTAGGCACCTATCGAGCCATCATATTAATATAGCTGATAAATCGTATCGTATGTGACGCAAAAGCAAGTTAGGCTGTAAGGTCTAGATTGATACCTAAGATAGGTAAGTTGTGCCTTCTTTGCAGCGCTCTAGCGCTGAAATCAAAAATTTTACAAAACAAGAAGTTTCGACATTGAAATTGTGATTAGTTTAATTTTGTATTTATTTTTTTTTCTCGCGAAATGTATTAGACAGAATGTATTAGGAAAATAATTTTTATAATGCACCACATTTTATCAAGAGGTGGCAAAACAGAAATTCTGGAGAAACATCAATAGCAGCAGCCACAGATATATTAATTTAATATTTCTGTGGCGACAGCAGTATCAGCATGACAGTCGCCGCGTCACATTTTTAATTTATAAAGATTATTTGTTGTACTGTTAATGGTTACCGATTGCCAAGTTTAGACCATGTTTCTGCCAGGTAATAGTAGGTGTGGGGCTGCCGGTAGCTTTGCATTGAATCCTAAGCAGCATGTCTCCATCAATCGCTTCAAACAATTTACTTGGATACACATTATGTATAACTGGTGGCGCTGAAAATATTAATGATACTTTACATGTATATACTCATTCAGTCTCAGTTGTCACAAATTCACATGAAAGCATTTTGTATAAGGAGGAAAATGGATTCAAAAATGTATATGACTTTCTGAGGAAAAAAGTAAGTGGCTGTCGTAGTAACAAACATACATAACTTTATAAAGAGCAATTGGGAAAACAGGTAATGAGCTACATACCATACACTTTCACTTCGTAAGTTATACTAGCTGATCCACTAATTGCATTTTCAGCAAGGCACATATAAAAGCCTTGTTGCTTGAGCTGCAGTTTCTGTAGCAGTAGTGAAGGGTGTTTAGAAGACCTGATAGAAATGAATACTAAGAATTAAGTTTAAATCACCAGGTTACTGTACTGTAGTAGTGCAAATGAGAAATTTTTCTTTGCGATGTCGTTGCTTCTGTCCCCTAAATTCCCTAAATCAATATTCAAAGACAGGCGCTATTACTAGATCCATGTCTGCTTCGTGAAATAGAGAATCTGAAAAAAAAAATACAACCTCATCCAGTTCGGGAATCAAAAGTCGTTAGATCAGAAATGTGCACAAATAAGAAATACCTATAGATTTTACAGCACACACATACATATTTCGATAGTTTCGTGCATTCTAAAGTTATGCATCAGATTACCAAGTCAACAATGCTATTATGCATACCAGCTAGCTACACCGAAATGCTTACGTAACATCTGTACCAGGAGCACCAAGAGTCCTGTGGAAAGTCCATTTTATGTCTGGTTTGGGGTACCCATTGGCTATACAGTTTAGCAACGTTCCACTACCAACCATGGTTTTTATTATATTAGATTTTGGATTCTCAATGGTCACTGGAACTGAAAACACCGAATGCTTTAAGAAAGAAAGAAAGAAAGGTCTAAGGTTAAAGTGTCGAGATTATTAAAATAGAGACTTGGGCATTGAACATTCCAAAAAAGATCCCGCCATCCATTCCTCAAAGAGTAAGATGTACTAAAAGGGACGATCACTCTTCATCAGATACGCCTCTTGCGATTGAAATCATATGGTATAAAAGAGAGATTAGCGTAGTCTAATTGGTGGAACACATATAAATGCAAATTAGAATTTATTGTTCAGGAAATTAAACAGGGAGATACTTAGATAATTATCATTTCACTTACCATATACTTGTAGGAAAACTTTCTTTTTACCTTTCCCAAGCTTATTTTTTGCGTGACAAACATAATGTCCAATGTCATATAAAGTGGTTTTGATTCTGAAAATTTTTATTTATTTTTTTGATATTAATACGTATGCTTGGTGATTTTTATTAACATCGTGTGTACAGGATATAAGACAAAAAAAAACCTGTGCAATTTTATGACGTCTAAAACTATTTTTTTAATTTGATTACACCATTTTGCTTTGATGTTGTGTTATATGCTTAAATTCTTACTTTAAACTGTAATCGGCAGTAATTTGAGTTCTCATAGTACTTGTTACATTGATACTATTGAATGTCCAGTATACTGTTGGCGCGGGCACTCCAATCACGTCACATGACAACTTCGCTTCATCGCCATCTACAATCTTCATTTCCTTTACATCCCTTTTTATATGTGGTGGATCTGAGAAAAGACATAGAAATAAGTATATTTATGGTATTTATAATAATATATACCAGGAGGCAGATAGCTATTTCTAAACGTCGACATTTTCCTTCTCACTTCAACTGGATATAAATTATGTAAATAAATGAAAAAAAGGCCTCGTTGGTCGCGTAGATGCCCATTAAAACATTGATTAGTACTAGATAAATATTAAGTTAGAGTGAAATCCAAATGTTACCGTTTACTGTTATACATAATATGGGGGCAATTATTGGACAGATGGTAATGAAAGTGGAAGCCGATAGAAGAAAGAGTGTGAAATTAATAATGAGTTCATACTTACATTCCACTATCACTTCTGTTTCGTGATTGTCTGTTCCCAAGACGTTTGTCGCTGTACATATGTACAGACCACTTTGGCCTCTTTGAGCATTTTTCAACTTTATGGTTTCTCCGGTTTCTTTCAAATACTTTCTTTTACTCGGACCTCGAAAGACCCAGGTTATAGTCGGTTTCGGAATCCCTTTAAGAATTCTAAAAATAAAGTCTAATCATACATTGGTCATGAAGTTGGCAAATATAGTAGAGTATAAATCCAAAAGCTATATTCTCATAAACGGATCTCAGAAGTGAAGCTGCAGGCTGCTCTAGGAAAGCATACAGATTTCATTAATAAATTCTCAAAACTTGTGATGTAATTTTTTTATACTTAGGTACAATATTAAGTAGCCTTTTAAGGGTTAACTGATCTAATAATAATTATATCGATACAATAGTAGTGCCCTAGAAGATTTTAGAATAGAGTAATTCAAAAAGTAATGTAAAATATTTTGCACATAATATACATGCAAAAAAATTAAGCATTGTTATACCTCTAGTTTACATAACTCAAAATGAAATGTAAGATTACTTAGTCATTATTGTGTAATCATTAGATGTTGTCTAATTTTGACTTGACTTACCTACAAGACAATTCGCCATTTGTTTTCTCCGTGACACGGATTTCATCAATTGACTTATCAATTACGGGTTTTTCTGAAATAAATATTTTTTAGACTACCTACGCACTACATTATCAAACAGACAAACCTTCATAAATCATATAAATAATAAGGTATATCGTGGCAAGGAAAAAGCACAGAACAATTATACACAGGGGCAGCACAATCTACAATTATTTTATATTAACATTCAGGGCTGCTCCTCAAAAGTCTTTGAATTAGAGATGTTTCTGGAAAAGACTAAATTTGATGTAATTTGTCTATCAGAACATTGGCTTCAGGAGGACTAACTAATATCTTTAAATTTAGATGATTACAATGTAGTTAGTAATTTCAGTAGAAAGCATATGTTACATGGTGGGTCCTTAATATTAGTAAAAAATAATATTAATTCAAAAGGAGGGAAAAATATTGTAGCACTGTCAGTTGAACACACCATTGAATTGTTTTGTGTTGAGCTAGATGGACATGTTATTGTCTATGTGTATAGACCACCTAACTATCAGAATCTTACAGTATTTGATTTTGTCATGGAGGACGTTTTAAGGAAGGTTTGTTCTAGTCACAAATCAGTAATTATATGTGGCGATTTTAATATTAATTTATTAGAAAATAGTACTAGTTGAATGGAATTGTAAAACATATTTGGATCATTTAATTTGAAAAATGTTTTTTTAGAACCAACAAGGATAACATCCCCTACCGCCAGCTGTATTGATAAGGTTTTCTGTAATTGTGACTACAAAGAAAAACATATTATAAATAGCTTGCCATCGGACCACTGTGGACTAATGGTTGCGTATAGCTCTTATTTACCTATCCTAAAAATTCTAATAAGATTTAGACAAATCACGTTCAAAAATCTGGAGAAATTGAGCAATTCTTTAGCTACTAAATTATGTATGAAATTATTAGATACTAGTAATCTGAATAAATTCTACAATGATTTCTTTGAGATGTTAAACAAGGAATTTAACAATATTTTGCCAATAAAAAATATAGATATTCATACCAAATTAAGTAAAAACGCGGGTTACTCACGTGAATATACTGAGAAAAGCTCTACTAGTTTACGTCGCGCAGCTCACTGACGTCGCCGCGACCGCGCACGCTGCTCATGAGGAAGAACCCCTCTGTGGTTCGAAACTAGTAGAGCTTTTCTCAGTATATTCACGTGAGTAACCCGCGTTTTTACTTAATTTAGTATGTCTCACGATAGTTATTATAAAAATTCATACCAAATTTGTATTTAGCGATTGGGCAACTGTAGGTATTCGTAAGAGTAGGGACGGACTTTTTGAACTTTATGGAATGAAACCGTACAAAAACGACCCCCAATTTCACCAGTATGTAACATCTTATTCAAAAACCTTTAGAATAGTATGCAGAGTCGCGAAGTCTTTATATTAGTAATAAAATAAAATCGTCTGATGATAAGATAAGAACTACTTGGAAAGTTATACACAACGAGACTGGTAGGAAAAGATTAAGAAACTCAGAATTTAATTTAAATACCGAAAAGGGACAGATTTCATCAAACGTAGATATAGCCCAGGAGTTTGAATTTTTTTTTTATTAACATTCCTATTAAAACAACTGAACGTTTAAAGTCATCAGCAAACCTCTCTGTAACTTTGCTTAAGAACAACATAGAGGTAGAATCATGTCAATACCACATTAGTTTTCGATATACGAATCCTCTAGAAATTGTAAAAGTTTTTAAAGAAATCAAGACCAAATCAACGGAGGATCTTTGGGGCTTATCGGTAATAGTTTGCAAGTCACTTATCCAAACTGTAGCGCCACGTCTGGCTATGATTTTCAATAAATGTATAGATGACGGTGTTTTCCCTGACCTAATGAAATATAGTAAAGTTATCCCACTATTTAAAAGTGGTGACACTAAAGAACCTAACAACTATAGGCCAGTGTCTGTTTTGCCGGTTCTCAGCAAAGTCTTTGAAAAGTTGATGCTGTCTCGGATGCTTCATCATTTTAATAAACATTCCATCTTTCACCAACAACAATACGGTTTCACTAAAGGTCGTTGCACAACTGACGCCGGTGTCACTTTGATTAAGGAAATATTTGGTGCTTGGGAGGAAGCACAGGATGCTATTGGTGTATTTTGTGACCTCTCAAAAGCATTTGATTGCGTTGACCACGAAACACTTTTGCTGAAATTAGATCATTACGGGATAAGAAACTCTGCGCTCCGTCTTATGAAATCTTATTTAGAAGAAAGACAGTTAAAGGTTCATGTTAACGGTATTAACTCACAGGGCTCTGGGATGAATATGGGCGTTCCTCAAGGTTCAATATTGGGTCCCTTTCTCTTTTTAGTCTATATAAATGATTTGCCATTTATATTTAAAAATGAACCAAGAATGGTGCTTTTTGCAGATGATACATCATTAATTTTTAAAGTAGATCGACGTACAAATAATCTTGACGACGTAAACAGCTCCATTCTTCAAGTGCATAATTGGTTTACCATTAATAATCTAGCACTTAATGAAAAAAAAACAAAATGTATTAAATTCAGTTTACCAAACGTGCGTAGTAACGATTGTGATATTGTTTTGAACGGTCAAAAGTTAGAATTTGTCGACGAGACAGTATTTTTAGGCATTACGTTAGACAATAGGCTACAATGGGGTCCGCATATAAAGGCGCTTTCGGGGAGATTGAGCTCAGCTGCTTTTGCAGTTAGACAGATTAGACAGCTCACGGACGTGGATACAGCTAGGCTTGTCTATTTTAGTTATTTCCACAGCATTATGTCGTACGGCATTTTGTTGTGGGGTCGAGCTGCAGAAATAGAATCAATATTTATTCTGCAAAAGCGGGCTATCCGAGCAATATATAACTTACGCCGTTGCGAATCGTTGAGAGAATTGTTTAAAACGATAAATATTTTAACGGTGCCCTGTCAATATATATATGAAAATATAATGTATGTAAGGAAAAATAGGCAATTGTTTGAAAAAAGAAGCGATAGACACAATTTTAATACTAGAGGCAAAAATAAGTTAGCTATACCGCAATTCAGACTGTCCAAAGTACAGAAATCCTTTATGGGGTTAGGTATTAAATGCTATAATAAAATACCAAATAGCATACTAGATCTCAATGAAAGTAAATTTAAAACATATATTAAGCGCGAATTATGTAATCAAGCTTACTACACACTGACAGATTATCTTGAAGATAAGAATGCTTGGCAGCATGTTGGTTCGGCTCCACTGGACAATACTCAAATGTAGTCAGTAGTTAAATTCCAATAGTAGGTAATATAATACATAATTTAATACTTTAATTCTAATGTAGACAATCTAGTTTCCTTATGGCATCGAGCATTTCTTTCTTTATTGAAACAAAGAGTTTCCTTTTTCTTGTATAGAAGCACTATTTCTATGGATTGTCAGTATGCGTATGTGAGCACCATGTTAGACTTAAGATTTTTATTTTTTTATTTTAGTAAGTTATTAGTATAATGCGTCAAGCGTGTCTTTGCATTGTTCTTGTATATGCGTACAGTATTGAAATATGTAGCAGAGACATTGTAGAACATACTTTTTTTAAAAAAGAGTAACGAATGGAGTTTCTTGCTCGTTCTTCTCCATTCGAATCTACATTTTGGAATGAGCAGCCATTCTCAGCCAAATAAATGCACGATCAGCAGGGACACAATACAAAACACACACCACACTTAAACAAACCATCCGAACCACACTCGACACGTGATTCGCTCCTCCGCTGAGGATCTTCAGGAGTTGTTGTTTCGGGACGCAGGTGTCATCGAGTTTCGAAAAAATTTCACGGAACGTCCTTCTGGCTTTTTTTTAAGGTGGGAAAATCATTGAATGACTGCTCCCACCTGGGTGAGGCGGGAGGGAGTGTCAGACTCTTACTGACTAAAAACCACCCCGTTCCTTCTCCTGTACATCGAGCCGGAGCCCCGGTAACCCGTTAGGTTCTCCGCGACGTCCTTCTGGGTGTAACGTAACTTTAACGTAATATTTCGATATTTTAGTTTAACTTACGATATATTTCTAGAAAAATGTCTCTTTTATCTTTCCCAATCTTATTGTCTGCATGACAAGCATAATGTCCAGTGTCAGCTACAATGGTCTTGATTCTGGAAATACATATACATTTCTTAAAAACCTAGATACACTCTGTAATGAGTCAATAAAAAGGATGAAAAATATAATTATGTAGGTTTATATATTTTTTTAGATAGCAAATGTAGGTAAATTTATTTTAATTTTATGATGTTCATTTGTAGGTACTTTTTTGATCTAATTGAACAGGATTTTTTATTTGGTGTAATAATATATGCTTAAACACTTACATTAAACTGTAATCGTCAGTAATTTGAGTTCTCATAGTACTTGTTACATTGATACTATTGAATGTCCAGTATACTGTTGGCGCGGGCACTCCATTCACGTCACATGTCAACTTCGCTTCATCGCCATCTACAATCTTCATTTCCTTTACATCCCTTTTTATATGTGGTGGATCTGAGAGAAAGACATAGAAATAAGTATATTTATGGTATTTATAATAATATATACCAGGAGGCAGATAGCTATTTCCAAACGTCGACTTTTTCCTTCTCATGTTAGGTGGATATAAATCTATCTATCTATACTTATAATAGATCTATAGAGAGGTCAATTCTGTACATGAAATATATTTCCAAAATAACAATCAAAGGGTGATTAGTGATCGATACTAATGCCAAAAATGCAATCAGTAAAATTTTTGTCTATCTATCTGTCTGTCTGTCTGTATGATATGGAAATAAAAACTACTCGACGGATTTTAACGAAACTTAGTACAATTATTCTTCATACTCCTGGGGAGGTTATAGTAGACTTTTTATCATGCTATAATCAATAGGAGCAGAGAAATGAAAGTAAGTGTTGGAAAACCGGAAGAAGTTACTCCGTTTTTTAAGCATCTGTCGCGTGAGCAGGCTTAATAGTTAAAACTATGTACATAGAAATCATGTATGACGAAAATGTTCTACATAAAATTATCTAAATAATATCACACAACAGCACACGTCTATATTTTATGGTTGACTCACAATAACACGTGTAACTCCCGATAGCTTAGCAGTTCGGGGCTTTTTGCTTATATTTGTTTACTCTTGTTTACAATACTCATCCATAGACTTCACGCTGTAACTGTACGTTAACGTCAGGTGGGTAAAATTATGTAAATAAATGTAAAAATGCCTTGTTGGTCGTGTAGTTGCCCATTAAAACATTGATTAGGACAACGGTTACCGTTATACATAATATGGGGCAACTTTTGGACAGACGGTAATGAAAATGGAAGCTGATAGAAGAAAAAACGTGAAATTAACATTGAATTCATACTTACATTCCACTACAACTTCTGTTCCGTGTTTATCTGTTCCCAGGATGTTTGTCGCTGTACATATGTACAGACCACTTTGGTCTCTTTGAGCATTTTTCATCTGTAGGGTCTCTCCGGTTTCTTTCAAATACTTTCTTTTACTCGGACCTCGGAAGACCCAGGTTATAGTCGGTTTCGGGATCCCTTTAAGAATTCTATAAAATTATAAAGTCTAATTATGTATTGTTCTTGAAGTTGACAAATATAGTAGACAATGAATCCGAAAGGTATTTAGTAAACGAATGTTAGTTTAGAACTGAAGCCGGACAGGCTACTCTAAGGGACCAAATAGAACTCATTAATAAATTTTGAATGGCAGAATTCGCACCATATTTTTTTTGTTGTCCATCATCAACAGCCTATAAATGCCCACTGCTGAGCAAAGCCTCTTCCCACACAGAGAAGGTTTGAGCATTAATCACCACGCTTGCTCAATGCGGGTTGGCGATTTCAAACTTATAATTAGAAATTATAAGTCCAGGTTTCCTCACGATGTTTTTCCTTCACCGTTTGTCAGTGGTGTCT